CTGCTGCCAGGGTACATGTGGTGGTATCTGTGTCTCCCCAAGCAAGTCAGAAACTTAAGCATAAAGCATTGCCAACCAAGCAGAGTCAGGGCAAACACAAACATTGCAAAAGGTGATGTAGTAGACGCCAGTTACCACACCTGGATCGACCATCTTCATGCGAGTCTCTGGCAGTTGCCCAGTCGGTGCCGGGTTGCTACTGAAAACATGAGGGACAGGCCCCATGGGAGGTAATGGAAGAGGCATCTAGAACTGCGTTTTCGGATCTGGAAGGATCGTTGGTTGCACCGGAGGTGTGTCCAAGGATATTCGATAGGTGACCAGGAGAGGGGATTGAAAAAAGCTGGCGGGAAGCAGAACGCAGTCACTACAGAAAGGATGTGAAGACCGATCTGGGATGACATGAGCGAGAAGTGATCTCAGGTTCGGACAATATCTCGCCAGGGGGACCTTTTTATGCTCGAACTTAATCCTGACAGATCTGATGAAGACAGGGGAGCCAGGAAGAACAGAGCTGGATCTACGACCCAGCCCCCCCTCCATCCCCCTTCTTTCTAAAAGAATCGAGTCAACTCCCCAGCCCAAAAAAGTATGTCAAATTCCTAGTCGCGTTCGGTTTCCACGGCTAGTCTCGGTCCATATGCAAGATCGCCTCCCAGGCGCCAGGAGCATACATCCGCCACACGCAATATGTAGCTTGCTCAAAGGAGGCGAGGTGCCTCACCATGCACCCCCGTGAGAGTAGTAGGACATTCAATTGGGTGTAGATGGATAATCAGCGAGGTAGACGGTCGTGAAATGGATCTATTTCTATGCAACTAGCCCTGCCGCGGGGGTGGAAAGAACTTGCGGTTGACGAGGAAAGAAAAGTACCACTAACCGAGAAACTCAACCTTGTAGACTTAGAAGCTGCACGTATCCATTCTAACCAGTAGCTCCAGGGGAAAGTACTGGAGATGAGCGGAGGTGTAGAGAAACCAAGCGGGCTAGCTCTCGAGGCAGTGTCTCCTGTGCCCTGTCGACACGATGAAAGCAACATGACAGGTCATAATCCGGGATTATAAGTCCCAAAGAACCTGGTCGCTTTGTACTTTCTTCCCCCGATTCAACCTTGCGGCACTCGAGCTGAAGATCGAGACCAGGATAATGCCGTTCAAGGGTCCCAAACCCTGGTCTTGCCCCATGTAAAAACCTATCCAGGCTTGAGCTTAGAGATGGTCCTCGGGCATACAATGTTTGGATGTATCCTCCAGTCTCCGAGTCCTCTCCAGGGCCCGCTCAACATCGAGGCTGTCCTGCACGGGTGTGTGCAGCTGCAGCCAAACCAAAAGAGATACTCTCCTCTTTCGACCCTTTTCTCTCGCGGTCAAAATGCAGGTCTTGTTCGGGAAGTTACACCGAGACGATGATGCTTTGACGCAGGAGAGAAGAGGAAACTAACCAGCCACTGCACACCCCCGCATCCTTGTTCTGCCCAAATCCTTTGGCACTTCGGCTCTCTGCATCAACCAGTTCTACGTAGTCTTCCGGAAAAGGAGGAGAGGAGGGGTGAGACACTACAACCTGTATCCACACGCAAGATAGTAAACAGGGGGAGGGCCATTGTAGCCAAACGGCGATGGCACGCTCAAGCTCGCCAAATGGCCCAGGGCAATAAATGGGACCATCGAAAAAGAAACTTGAAGTCGTTCAGCTATGCTTGAACGAGAAGGTATCCTCCAACATTGAACCCTCGTCCTCTAAAGCGATGCTGTCTCTTATCGAATCGATCCGGTCACGAATGGATGACAGGGGCTGTCGTGCTGAGCTATCCACGCGAAAGAAACTCTCTGTATCTTCCTCCCCACCAGCCGCCTCATTGTCCGTCTCGGATAGTGACAGAAGACACAGATTCTGCCTATCTGTGAGCAGCAGTTTTGGATCATCATCCTTGGAATCTATCCACTTTGCCTGCAATTTCCCAACCACCTTACCGTCGGCAAGCTGCTCATGGAATTTGACGAATCTAGGCCCATTAGATAGTGGATCCCAGTGAAAATGGAGATTCGCTTGTTCAACGCTACATGTAATCAGAAGCAGTTCACGAACTGACGGATGCCAAGCTACATCAGCGGGAGAGTGGAACATGAGAACTGCTCTTAGTTCTCCAGCAAGTAGGTCCCAAACCCACACTGTTCCTGGGTGTTCATCCAGCCTAGTTGCTAATAGCGCACCGGAAGAATCAAATGAAGCCACCGAGCAGCCGACCTTCAGTTCTGTGGTAGATTTAGCATCCTCCAAGGCCGCCGGAGGGGCAACATCCTGCGATGCCCGAACGAAACAAGAGTCGAACGAGGAGCTGCCAGCAGAATTCTGACGTTGCTCTTGCCAAACCTAAGTACAACCATCAGAATAGGTCCGAAACCATCATACTACCCCAAAGGAGGTGACAGAAAATTTGAAAGGGACAAGGTTAAGGATTCCCTAGTAGCACTCACCTGGAGGGTGTCACTCGGTACGATGCTAACGGGATGGGTCAAGGTTAATTCTTCCCTCCAAACACTAGTATTCAAAACGGCGACCTTTCGTGTGTGATCACAAAAGGCACATAAACGCGAGTCTGGGCTGAATTGGCAAAGCTTGATTCCCACGTTCAGTCGTGCCGCTTCATCGTCCACTCTGTCAGCCCCTCCTAAGGTTCGGAAGAGCTGCCCATCTGGAGTATAGAGCAAAATCCTCCGACCTTGCGCTGGCGAATCCCATAATAGCAGCCATGAGCCATCTGGTGACCACGCAACGGCCTGCGCATCTAAGGTCGGAGGGTACCACGATCTCTCCAGCTGGCGGGTGTCGGGATGGTGAATGCTAACAACGTCCTTGCCCGCAGATCGAGTCAAAAGAGCCAAGTGGCCGGATCCCGTCCGTATAGAAAACCCGCGTTTGACAGAGCCGGGGAGGTGAAACTTGGGGCTAGGTATCTCGACGGCTTTAGAGATTGATAGATTGAATAGAAGCAGCTTCAGACCAAATGGGGCGAAAAGGATGAGTTCCGAATCATTTAGACCAAACTGTATATAAGAAGGTTTCCCTTGGCCAGCCAGTGGGTTTGCGATGCTAGCATGACATGCAGACTCGGTCGCAGAAAGGACTGCAATGTGATCAGCCGACGCCGCCAGGATCCTGGTCGAAGAGGGACTCCATATGAAATGGATAATGGGACTTGACAGCTCAGGTGGCAGCTTTGAGACATTTAGCGATCGCAGCGTCTTCACGGACCGGATCCGTATCGAAGACCCTTCCAGTGTTGCAATCAACTGTCCATTCGGACTAGCACGACAGTGTGTTGAGGCTGGTCGTTTCATATTAGCCATAATTGTGCTTCACTTTGAAATCTTGGTCATGCGATAGGAAATATTGACCATACATTTGATCAATCGTGAATAGTGCATCGCGACTTCAATCTATTGTGAGATTTTTGGTGATATTCTCCCGTTGGTGTGCACTGGCTGAGAACGAAGTTGCGAGGTTGTTGATGTTTTCATCCCGCAACCACAACAATCGGGCGTAGAAGGACGGGGATATGGTGAAGGGCGCAGTCCTTTAGAGAAGGTGTTTTTGACGTGTAAATTATGCAAATTTTATCAAACAACCAATTTCAGTCCAATTTCAAGGTGTCGTCAATCGAGTCGTGATGATAATTATCAGGCAGGCGCGACACAGGTGGAGTGAGGTACCCCCTACCTTAAGCCCACAGTGATGACTAAGACTCTATTTGGCATTCACCTCTCCAACGCACCTTCTCTTCAATTCCAAATCAATCACTCCGAAGTGCAGTACGACAACCTATCGCTGATTAGATTTTGTTTCGAACTGATTCAATTGCGTATTTTGATTTAATATTTCAGAAAAACTATGTATTCAGATTGTATCCGACTGATTTAGGACTATATATAATTACTCCTTATCATCTCGTTTAGTAACTAACCTGGGGTTGAGACCAGGACCGACAACAACTCCTACTTGTAATCCTTCTGCTACCACGGTTTTGCTCCATGCCAAAAATAGTTTGTGGCTGTCGCCTCCAAATGGTGAACTGTGGTCCTCCTCCGTAGCCTCACGCCTAACTAGAGCCATCTCCTGCACTTTATAGACAGGATGAATACAAAACCAGTCAGTTTGGTCTCGACTAACGCAGCGACCCATATGCCGTATTGATCGGATGTTTACTAAGCAGTTTCTCTTGTGATGGTGGTCAATGTGTTGGCATGTCACACCCAAGACTCCAATTCAATTATCGGCGAGATAGTTCAAAGCAAGTTCCATTCATTTCTTAGGCTCGATGGGTTACTGACTTGACATTTATTAGTGGACATTTATTTTTCATTCGTATTTTTTCCTTTCCTCCTCTTACTTCTTCTCTTTGGTCTTTTTGTTGTTTCTAGGTGCGGGGAGTTTTTCAATTCATGGTGAATGCAATACCAGCAGCATAGTCTTAGCTGATGGTGTGTAACATTTTGGTCATGTTGGGCTGATTTCCCAAAACAGATATTTCAGTGACGCGCATTGTGACCAAAAGCCAAAGAAAAAATGACAGGTCGAAATGGAGGCCTCAACCATTGCTCGGCCAACTCATCCAATATCAGCTGGGCTCAGTATGGTTGGCAGCGCTATAGGGTGGCAACTTAGTTAGCACCGACGTAAGAGTACCATCATTCTTTAGCCCCTCCATCTCCAACTTCAGCCATCTTATCTTACTTTTCGCCTTGGATCCCGCCCTCCCCGCAGCGGCACTCTCAACGACGACGTGAACAACCCTTCTAATCAATAGCATAACTTTAAAAAGTATGTTGGGTTGGTAAGGGCCGGTTTCTTCGCGTAGTCGGAGTGTTCATCACATCACCTAGTGCCTAGGTACCTACCTAACTCTATGACACATCTACATGTGGAAATCGGATTGCACGAGGGCATGACAGGCTTGCAACTGTCTGCATAAGCGACACGGACAAAAAACAAATACAGCCATGTATTCACTCAGAGCTGGCCTCCCCTGGGCACGCCGAGCTAGACCATCATTGTGCACCGCCCTGCGCATTGCTTCCCAGAGCCAGAGCCGAAACGTATCAGCCGGGCTTGGATCACAAGTGGAAAGGAACCCCGGGGCGGAGATACAGCCCCCTCTAGACTCTCGGAGGGAGTCAATCAAGCAAGCAAGGCCCTTTTCTGATTTTCTGACCGACACCTTCTCCCGCCAACATGATTACCTGCGGATCTCGATCACGGAAAGGTGCAACCTGCGCTGCGTCTACTGCATGCCCGAGGAGGGTGTTCCCCTTTCACCCAACCGGGAGCTCCTCACCACGCCAGAGATAGTCATGCTCTCCTCCGTCTTCGTCTCCCAGGGAGTGAATAAGATTCGGCTCACTGGCGGAGAGCCGACGGTGCGTCGTGACATCCTCTCTCTGATGCACCAGCTCGGAGATCTTCGGAGCCGGGGCCTCCGGGAGCTGTGCATCACGACAAATGGCATCTCCCTGCACCGGAAGCTTGACAGCATGGTCGACGCTGGGCTGACCGGGGTCAACCTCAGCCTGGACACACTGGACCCCTTCCAGTTTCAAATCATGACAAGACGGAAGGGGTTCGATGCAGTCCAGAAGAGCATCGATCGCATCCTGGAGCTGAACAAGCTCGGAGCTGGGATCAAACTCAAGATCAACTGTGTCGTCATGCGAGGCGTGAACGACCGAGAGATCGTCCCCTTTGTGGAGTTGACTCGGGAGAAGGACCTCGAGGTCCGCTTCATCGAGTACATGCCGTTCGACGGCAACAAATGGAACAAGAACAAGATGTTCAGCTACAAAGAGATGCTGGGGCTGATCCGAGAGCAGCACCCCAGTCTGGCCAAAGTTCAGGATCACCGAAATGATACGAGCAAAACATGGCATATTCCAGGCTTCGCAGGGAGGATAGGATTCATCACGAGCATGACGCACAACTTCTGCGGGACCTGCAATCGTCTACGCATCACCAGCGACGGGAACCTCAAAGTGTGCCTCTTCGGCAATGCCGAGGTATCACTCCGAGATATTCTACGCAGCTCAAACGGTGGTGAGCCCATTGACGAGCAAGCCTTTGAGGCCATGAAGCAAATCGAAATGGACCGGAAGCAAGGGCTTACGCCGTCGAACCAAGCATTAGGTATAGATACTCACGAGGCCGAGCTACTTGAGGTTATCGGAGCCGCTGTGAAGAGAAAGAAGGCCAAACACGCCGGTATGGGAGAACTCGAACACATGAAGAATAGGCCAATGATTCTCATAGGTGGGTGATCAAGCAACAACCCGCCACCAATTCACTTTCATTTCTCCATTTACATATGATGACGGAATGACATGACATGATACCATGGCAATGGGGGATTGAGTCTCTTGCACAATATGGCGTACAGGGTTAGCATATTTTCATGATGTTACTTCTCATTTACTCTTCTTTCCTTCTTTACTGCCCGCATTCTTAATCCTAGTGTAGGATATCAGCTAAATAGCCAAATTGTAGATGACCTTTCTGCATCCTTTACCAGCTACCGGAACGTGCAATTCCCGTTTAAGAGCTCGTTTGCCGTCCCCAGAGGTTGGCCATCACATCTCTTCCAAACCGACCGACAATCCCAGCACTCGCGGCTGTTCTCGACATCGAGGCATCATAAACAAAAGAATTCTGCACCTTCCAAAGAGACGACCGCGGCGCCGAGAAGCCCAAACAACCAGCGCCTCACCCACGTATCCGAGACTGGCGACGCGCACATGGTCTCCATCAGCGACAAGGACGTGACCTCACGCACCGCAACCGCCGCCTGCACGATCCGCTTCTCGACGCCCGACGCGGTCAGGCTCATCCGCGAGAACCAGATGAAGAAGGGCGACGTGCTCGGCGTCGCCCGCGTCGCCGGGATAATGGCCTCGAAGCGGACGCCGGACCTCATCCCGCTGTGCCACCCGATCCCGCTCTCCCACGTCAGGATCGACCTCGACGCCGCAGACTCCTCGGATCAGCGAATCGAGGTTAGGGCGACCGTCAAGTGCGACGGCAAGACCGGCGTCGAGATGGAGGCGCTGACGGCGGCGTCCACGGCGGCGCTGACGGTGTACGACATGTGCAAGGCTGTGGATAAGGGGATGATCATTGACGGACTGAGAGTGGTTCTCAAGGAGGGTGGCAAGAGTGGGCGGTGGGAGATGGATTGACCGGAGCTATAGCCCAAAGCAAGCCAAGCATGTCACTTGTTGATAGTACCTACGTAATAACTACTTATGGTGAACGGAAGACACGATGGAGAATACAACGTTGATGTTGCCAAGCTGCCAAGCTCATGGCTACCTGCTGGTAGCATAGCATTGCCACTCAAAAGCTCATGGAGCGAAATAGGTCCGAAGAGGAACTGATCCAGAACATCCTAGGACACGATCATAAGTGGATGGTCGGCTAACTCAACCTACCTCTGTTCCCGCTGTTGATTGGCTTCGGGTTTGGCGAAGAGAGACCCTCTAGGTAGGAGGGGAACAAGCTGCGAACCAGGTATGCACAACATTGCCGACTTGCTCTACTCGGCAATCTGATTGAGTAATTGATTGATAGGTACGTAATAGGAGGGGTCCTAGAGCAAGGTCGGCCAATCACAGAAAAGACCATTGTCATTGGAGGCTGGTGGTGTGGCGATGGTGGCACGCGACAGTGGGTTGGATGGCCGATAAGAGATCAGGGTGCACCTTATCACATCGGGGTCTAGACGGGATGGAAAAGAAATGGAATCTTCGGCCAGGGTGCACTGACCAAGTTCCTCAAATCCCCGTTTTGGGGAATGTGAGCCCGAGGCCATCGATTGGGCGGACGGCAGCGGGCTAGCCCAGCCATTACGTTTTGTTTCCCAGACCGGCCGTTCCACCGGTTACTGTGTTTATGGATCATGGCAGGCCTGTCGGTCAGCCGGTTGGTTGGTTGGTTGGCCGCTGTCAAACACTGTCGGAGCCCACCTCAACCGTGTGCCAGCCTTCCCGTTGTGGCTTGAGTCGGAGGAGGGGACCGGCCGCCAGTTTGTGCTAGGCCGTGGAGCTTGCTTTCGGAGCTGTTGGGAGCCCTATCATGTAGTTTGCTGTTCCATTTCATACCTAAGTCCCTAGGCAATTAGATGCATCATGCGGCACTTACTGGCAGCTGAATGACAACTAGGTATGCATACGCAGGCAGCGTTTAGATTGGCAACTGGGCCAGCTGTACGACAGGCTGCTTAGCTGTGTTGTCTCTCGACAGTGGTAGCAACGCCAAGGAGGAGACAACAACCTCACCACCAAACACCAACACAACGCTCCGCGCCTAATACAGGTTGGGGCAAAAAAGAGCGCAAAACCCTCGGCCGGAAATCTATTGATGATCCTTCATTGCCAAGTGGAGAGCAGAGGACCGCCGAGGCGCCTAGGCAGTCGTTATGCCGACTGGGTGCTAATTTTGAGTTGTTTAGCGAGCCAGAGCCCCAGAGCCCCAATGCCTAGTGGCTGTGGTGGCCTAGGGGTCGCCGACAGCTAGCGGGTTGGAGCTCGTTCCAGCCTGCGGTTCAGGGTCGCTCGTTGCTTTTTCTCCCCTCTTCTGCGCTCATTTCAACTCCACAATCTAAGCGCAAATAGTCCATCTGAGGAAACATCTGAGACGATGAAAAGATCAGGTTGCACTCCACATGGGGAACCGTTCATCTCTCGTGGGTGTTGGTTTTTCTTCTTCTGCGTTATGCATGTCTGGGTAGGAGATAGGCTAGGTAGTACTGTATGCACTGCCCGGGCCGGCCATCACATTCTTGGGCATGGGAATCCGGATCTTGATTCTCTGAGGTGTGAGCCAAAGGACCTTTTCCTCCCTCGCTCTCCGATCATCGCACATCCCGTGCGTGCATCCCGTCGATTATATCCAGAGCTTATATCCATCCACAAGGTGTGTACATGGAGATGTATCACCTGCGCATACATCTGTCCGCATACGATCACGATTACTGTCCGTACTGAGCAGGCAATTGCTGTATGCAGGCGCCGATGCAGGGAGGGGTCGGCGTCTGGGATCAGGGCGGAGAAAAAAGGGTGACTGATGCGAATGCAACGACAGCGCAGACGCAGACGGACTCTGAGTCCGGAACTGAACAGCAGGCGACTCGTAATAAGTTTTGGCGACAGAGATCTGACTTCCTCTAAACAGGGGCCCCTACCCCATCACGATTGTTTAACCCTTGTCGAGGTTGGGCGTCAGGTCCAATGAGCCCGCGTTGATTGAATCAAACAATGGAACTGGAAGAGCCACAATTCCGCCGTTCACCAAACTCGCGCAGACAGATGCAGCGAGGATTTGCGCAGTCTCTCCCTCCTACTCCTTCTGTTCCAACGGCTTGCTGCAGCATGAAATGAGGCGAGCATCGTACTTGCCTCTTCATGTTCACCTACAGACCGGATGTTGACTTTCGCTAGTGATGGGGCTGCTAGACTAAGACTGGCTGCATGCACGTCTCTAGCATCTGATGGTACATCTAAGTTTCTGTCACTTGCCGCACACCACAGTTTGGGCACCGGCACCGTGCTTATGCACTAACAGCACTGTAAATTTCTTATCGCGCACTCTCATTGGATGGATGTCGAGTAATCCCTGTAGTGTATGCGCTTGAGCTACCTACCTGGTAATAGTGGTAAATGATATACCATAGCATTACGTCCGTTTTGGTTTGGCTTGTTTTCCTTCCAGGTAGGTAATCCCAAGCAGTGTTCTCCCCTCCGCCCCCAGCATCAGAGACCTAGCCCTTCGCCTTCCCCTCCCGAAAAGCCAAATAAAGCAGTTTGGAGGAGCGCGTCGTGATGGGACCAGAGGCCGAAGGAAGGGTCCCATCTCACTCGTAGGCTCTGAGACAGCTCCGAGAGCAATGAGACATGGATTCCGAACGGAAACCAAGTGAGGCGGTCTCAGATTCTCGAGAGGCACTTCGTTCTCATAGTGAAGATATCGGCCCCACTTGCACGAATCAGATAGACCCTTTCCCTGCTACTCAGTTCGGCTGCGGCGTTAATCAGAGACGAGAGGAGTGAATACATAGCAAGCAGGCGCAATGACACTGATGTATGTATCCTTACCGCCTTTGCCACTGCAGCCAACCGCCAATTGCCGTCGCACGATTGTCAGCCCTTCTGGGCCCTCCACTATCCCCCAACTTCCAGTGCGCTAAGCCGCCCGTGCATACAGCACAAGCTAATGTACCTATAACGGCGCATCTCCACCCACCACCACTGCAACACCGCCAAAAGGCCTACCCCCGGGAACGTCGCCGATAACTGTGCGCGCCCACCCTGAACCCCCTCCTCCGGCTGTCTACCTGGTGGTACTTATTCGTATCCCCGTCCTCTTATACATCAACCACCTACGACCGATACCACCCTCCCCTACCTCACCGGCTGCTATCACATACCTGCAGAGCCAACATAACTTTCTCCCACGCACACACACAATCCGACAAACACCCAGGGTTTTCTCAGATCAGATTTCCCTCGTTGCATCCGCTTGACACCTCTTCTTTGCCCCAGATATCGCCTTCCCGCGGTATCCTCCAACGCACGGATCGGACAAGTCAGCAACCCTCGATCTCCCATTGCCTATCGCAAACTGTCTCATTAGGCAGATCCTAAATTCGGCACAAATACCAAGGGTCCCCTTGCACGACGAGATCCGGCGCATACGCTTCACTTGCCCTTCACCTACACACCTGCTCGCTCTCCACAGTCACACGAGCGACTTCCCGCACACTTCATCCATTTCCTGGGCAGCGTCACCACCTCGCGTCTCAGCTTCCGTGTCGACGTCGACGCCTTCTTTTTCAGCCCAACCTTCGACATCATTTCAGCAGTGTCATGGCAGCCGAGCTCATCATGCCGACGCTACCAGGCGATCAGCATCCTCACCACCATCACCACTTCGCTACTCAGCGACCTCCGCACTCCCGATCTCTCTCCTTCCAGGTCCCCCAGCCACACTCCAACCAGCTCTCTCCTCTTAGCACATCCGATCTCGACAAGCACCATGCCTCTACGCCGTCATCGCCTAAAGCACAGCATGCGCGTCCTGCCCGGCCGATGTATATGCCTGCCGTCCTGCGACCGAACAGCGACTTTATCTGCCAGAAGATCACTGGTGTGAGCCCAACCAACTCAGATGCAAGCAGCGTTCAGACCGCGGGCCGTCGGCGGCTGTCTGGTGCTGGTTTCATGGCGATGCCCGGCTTTTCAGCCCTTGGTCAGCGCCTCACACGGAGAACTACCGGCGACAGCACTAAGAGTTTCGAGAGCGGTTGGGATCTGGATCTTTTCCCTCAAGTTACTGATCTGCCCACCCGGAAACACTGGAAGGTAAGCAACCCTACTTTTGTCAACCCGCTCTTTGGCATATCATGATTCTAATATGTCATCAATTCCAGCCCGACCCAGAATCCTCTGTTTGCGACGACCCTACCTGCAAGCGAACCTTTAATTATTTCACGCGACGTCACCACTGTCGCAGATGTGGCAATATCTTCTGCGATCCTCACTCGAGCTTCGAGGTTCCTCTGGATCAGGACGCCAACTTCAACCCACGGGCTCCCCCTTCGCGCACCTGCAACCACTGCTTCGAGCAGTATAGAGATTGGCACAGCCGCAACAACAGCCAGAGCTCCAGCTCTGCCTCCTCAGACGACCAGAACGTTGCACCGCCCACTCCAGTTGCTGCTATCCCGGGCGCTGCGGCTGCTGCTCTTGCACTTCCCAAGGGCCCTGAAGTGGCAGCCAGCGTCCCCCGCGACTGGAACTGGAGCACCTTTTAATCGAATCGTACGGACTCGGTGCTGAAGGCTACAGTGTAGTCCTTTTCTCGACACCCGTTTACACTTACGAAGTGACGAATATACGAACAGCAACATAGAGTTGAACAACTCTGGGTGGAAGGGCAGTGCCCTTCTTCCTGGATTTCCACGCTGCCACGCCTCTGGACGAAATACGTTATCTCACCGTGCCGCGGGCTCGGATCGTTTCTTACGTTCTCAAACTTTCTTCTTCCTCCGCCTCTTTTACGCCCACTTCCTTTCGTGGAGTGGGCTTTTTCTCTTCCTGCGGAACTACGTCTCTCACCCAATAGACGGGTGTTTTTTCCTCTTAATATTTTCTCTTAATTCCTACTGCATCATAGCATTTGC